AGCATGTATTGTTCAAGTAGTTGGTAAATCTGTTAAGATAGCAGTGGAAATTACCATGGTTGGTAAAAAATTGCGATGTGGAATGGTTGAGTTTCAACCATTTATAGTTATAAATGTCCGAGATATGCGGGAAGAAGTTATTGGTAATTGATTGACGGTTGTTGTTCCAGTCATTCTGCCAGTTTTCCAGGAGATTGTTCCAAAGGATGTGCTTTAAGGTGGAATTGCTCATATTATTATAACTAGTGGTGAGAGTGAGGTCAGTGGCGGCCTCCTTTGCTAGTTCGTCTGCCCGCTCGTTACCAGGATTACCCTGATGTGCATGAGTCCAGTTCAAGAAATATTCATTGGTGGAATGACGAATAGTGCAATAAATATCAGTAACTAGGTGGTGCGGATGTTTGTGTACAGTACAGGCTGCACACAAAACTATGTCAAAGTAAAAGGGTTGGACTTGAGAGTGAGAAAGGCTGGTCCCCATCAGGTCGTACTGCAAGAGGCCGCACATATAACAGTCTGACTTTGTTGTTCAGTCACCTTAATACCACCAAAGATGACCAACTGCTAATGATTAAAATACAGTCTTAGTACTCTGTAGTGCCATTTGGCAGAGCAGAGGCAGTTGTAAAAATTGTGATACAGAAAATGATCTGCCATTGTTATTTTTAAGAAATTTCATATTTTGAAGCAGTAAAGGTCCCTTCTGAACTATGAGTTCTAATAACCAATTATTAATAATTAGTGGCCAATTAAAAGGATCCCCTATATCTACATCATTTCAATTCAACAAAATTATTATTTTCCAAATTATCCTCACCACAGCTTGATTCACACACTGATGTTTCTTGACACAATTACAAGCAAATTTCAGACTTGTCATTTGATTTTTCATCTTCCATTTCATCATTATTATCTGAAATGAATTCTAAAGTGGCTATTGATGATGTCGGGTCAGCATCACCCAACTTTACGAATTTCAGCATTAATCCTCGTAGTTTTCTGTTTTTCCTTATCATGTTCATTCTTCTGCTTGCAATAATATTCACCAGACTGACATTTTATTCTCCATTTGACACATCTAAACATATCTAGGCCTATAATAGTAATAATTCTTTACTTACATAAACTATATATACGTGTTTTCAAATATGTAAGGGGCTGTCCATAAATTATGTCCATATTTTTCTTGAAATCTTTACTTCCCCCCACTATCCCAGTTTGTACAAGTTTCTGTAACTCCCTCCCTCTTCAAACATCCAACAAATCTCAACCCTCCTCAAAATCTTTATGAATAATAAAATACATAAACTGTATAAAATGTAATGAAATAAAACACCTCCCTCCCTCCCAGATTGAATGGATAGCCCCTAAAAGTCTTGTAATAATCCAAACCTGACTAAAGCATGGGTACTGAAAGTTCATTTATACTAAATTAAAATAAATAAGCACAAAATATCTTATAAGCTGCAAAAATAATTTATTCTATTAACTTTATTAAAGTTGATATTAATAAATATTCTATTTTTTATTAGTGGTGGCTAGTTTTATCAAATCTCTTAAATATTGTATTTAATTCTTCAAAAAAGCCTTTTATGTATAGAAAGGATATAGAAGAAATCCTTATTAATTCAAACTTGGATAGTTTGAAATCCCATTAGTTCATAACTGTACTTTTATCCCACAGGGAATATAGAGGCTTACATGTTAAGGAATTTGGTTAGTTAGAAATATGGCTATTTTGTAATTTGAAATGAAAATTCTGTCCAAACTATCACATGCATATGTTAACTCCTTCATTTAGATGGAAGTGCCTCCATGTTATAAGAGAACAATAGGCCAAAAACAACTCTAATCTGGTCAATATGGCTTTGCTTTTATAACAACACATTTTCAAGTGTTACCTTACACATGGATTACCTTTTTTTCTCTTATCTCATAAAATATGCTAATTTTCAGGATTGAAAGATTGTGCTGCTAGTAGCAGATACAGATACTTGTATGGCTCTAAGCTACTACATTTGAATGNTTTTATGTACGTTTCTTTACAAAACTATATTTAATTATAATTTTCTTTAAAAGTATATTCATACAATTGAATATTTTGTACCAAGTATGTATATCCATAGCACATTTTATACCGAGTAAGTTTTTTATGATTTTATTTTTAATTTTAGCCCTTATATCCAGTGCCGTAACTAGGGTGGTGCCAAGGCACAGGGCGCAGACCCTAGGGGGTGCAGAAATGACCTGGACCAAGTTTTGGGTCATAGTTACAGAAGCTCGCACCGGGTGCATAAAAGGCTAGTTACGGCGATATTGAAAATTTATTTTAAAAAAAGTTTTGGCTCGAGACCGTATAATGAAAAAGAAAACATTATTAAAAGAGAAAGGCCAATGCCTAAGTTAAATATAAACACTTCAACAAAAAAATTTGTTCGACATTTTCACGATAAAGTTCGTGAAGACATAAAATGACATTGTGGATGCATAAAAATGCAAGAATTGTTTTGTCGGCCTTGCCTATTATTTTCACATGAAATTAGTGTGTGGAATACAGGGCTGTGGAGTCGGAGTCGTCAAAAAATCCGCCGACTCCGACTCCCTTTTACTTACCAACTTGTTATGTATATGAAACGGAGTCGGAGTCGGTAGATTTTTACGCGACTCCACAGCCCTGGTGGAATAAGAATGGCTTTGACGATTTAAATAATTTGAGTAAAGCTGGCAAAAAACAAGACGAAAATCGTAAATCTCGCATCGATTCTTTCGTAAAATTGAAGCAATTTGGAAATCAAAATAGAATAGAATTTAACATTAGTACAGAATATAAAATAAATATTGAAAATTATAACAAGATAGTTACGGCTAATAGATACATTATATCTTAATTAGTAGATGTTATCGAAGCGAGAATTGGCATTTAGAGGCGTAGAGAAGCTATTAAATCTAATATAACAGAGTTAATTATATCGAACTTGCTTATTTATTAAGTGCGTTAGATAATCTATTAATTAAAAATACATTTAGAGAAGTCTACGGTTTTTACTGGCTTATCGAACAAATGAATACGAATGGGCCCTAGACCAGGCATGGCCAACATACGGTCCGTCTAATGAATTTATGTGGCCCGCGATCAATCTTTCAAAATAGCTCGACGAAAAATTCGGCAACACTCACCGTGCGTTTACAGTTAACCATACATTACAAAACTCTTAACTACAGCGTAGATTGTTGATAAAGCATGATAATGTGAGAAATATATCTGTAATCTCTATCTACAATTCAGTCTCTACGGGGTGACACCGCAATAAGATCTCGCACCACCTCAAAATCTTCCTAGGGCAGCCTCTGGTTCGGCCCGGGGGCAAAAACTGTTGACCACCCCTGCCCTAGACCGTCACTGACTGATTGCCCCTGGAAGTCGACTTCTTACAGATACACAGCTTCCCTATCATCAAATGCCACGGGACGCCACTAATGTCGACTTATGCGGACGCGACTGTAGTTTAAAAATTCATGGAAGTTGAAAGAATTGGTATATTTGAATGCGGTTTGAGTAAAATCATTGGAATTCCACGGGAAAATTACGTTTATTTGCATGCAGGCAAATGTTTACACTTACACGCGTATCACAGCACTAAAGCACTTGTGCTATGTGTCCGCCATCACCGCAAATGACAGTTTGCAAGCGAGTGACAATACCATTAATTGCAGCATGTAGCAGATCCGGGTGGATGCAGAAGATTTCGTGGCGAATGGCCTCCTTTAACTGCACTAAAGAAGATGGGCTGTTGCGATACTCTCGGAACTTAACGCAACCCACAGCCAAAAATCAAGGGGTGTTAAATCCAGTTTGCGAGGGGACCATTTATTTGTACAGTGACGGCTGATTAATCGTTCTTCAGTAAAGGTTCTCAAGAACGTATGTACGTCGGTTACGATGTGAGGAGATGCCCCATCTTGTACGAATGTCACTGTGTCAAGGACATTATGTTCCAATAAGCACGGTATCGCTTTCTCCCGTAGCATTTGCAAGTATCGCGTTCCAGTAATTGAGCACGTTTTCCAGCCTGGTTTTTTACAGGGCTCTTCAAAGAAAAAAGGACCCACAATAATAGATGCACCAAACAGCAACACAGTAACACGTGGTGAATGTAGGAGCTCTTCACTGTAAGCATGTGGATTCTCCTTTGCCCATATTCTATAGTTATGGGTATTGACTATTCCATGCAATGAAAAATGAGCCTCATCTGTCCACGAGATATCGAGCAGCCATTGTAGATCTTCGTCGATATTCGACAAAACCCAATTTGCGAAGTCCACGCGCTTAGTTGTGTCATTTGGTAAGAGCTGGTGTAGTGGTTGAAACTTGTATGTGTACAATTGTAACGCACCACGAAGGATGCGAATACCGATGTCTTCGGTATTCCAGGTACTTGTGCCAGTTCTCGCGCGCTACTTACGGCACTCGTTGACTGTTCCTTCAGAGTCTTCATTTGCGAAGCCACATCGGAGGTACGGACCTCTGATAAACGTGATGTGCCACCGCGTGGGCGATTAAACAAACTTCCCGTTTCTTCGAAACGTCGTATTAGGGAAACCAATCCGGCAGGAGTGACGATTGGACCCGAACCTTTCTTCATTCTGTTGTGTGTTTCAGCCGGCGATTCGTGGCTGAGATAAAACAACTTCACCAATAGTGCTTTATCCAACAACGTCGACATCATAATAAACCAGTAACAGGAAAATTCAGAAATGAGCTGTTAATCGCATACCCTGCATTTTATGCCTCAGATTTGCACGATTCCAGACATTTTCTTTCGCTTAGCGGCCTCTATCGACAAAAATTCGAACTATTTCCTTTATCTCTACTCAAAATAAATCCCCCTTCGTGAAAACGCAAACCGCATTCAAATATATCAATTCTTTCAACTTTTATGAATTTTTAAACCATTTACAAATTTATGGGACACCGTGTACTTTTATTGGTAAGAGGCGAATAAATTTTGGCGATATTTCGACGTGTTACGACGGCGTCGCCTTATTACTTCGCAATCGCACCGTTCGAGAGTGCGGAGTAAAATTTTTTTAAAGTAACGCGTCGTTTTTTGCGTGTGTAAGTAATTCGAGTAATTTTCGTTGACGGAAGAGGTGAGTCGGACGTAATACGTTTCCATTATTTCAGTTCTAAATCCCAAATAACCAATTCGTTCCTCACCTTGGCAAGATATAAACGAACACGCACAATTGTGAATTATAAATAGAGGTTTTTATGGACAAATTACGGAACTAATGCGAGATCTTCCAGACGAAATACTTTGCTTACGTAATTGCCTTATATCGAGTAAAAACCAATAGATCTATCGCCAATAATTATTTTAATTCGTTTACAATATCTGCACGTAGTGTTAAAATAAGAAGGTTCGACCGATATGACTTTCCGTTTCGAATTCTTAAATGATACTGTTCTTACGCGATTATGGCCTATGGATTAAAAATTGTTTTTTATTGCTGCGTGCTGCTACCGTCACTTCGACACCCTCTTTGAAACAGAAAAGGCGATCGTTTACGACGTGCGCCGATGCTAGTGTATCTGTTTGCCTTCATTTGAAAGATGCACGGTACGTTGCTTTTAAAATATCCGGGTCTGCCTCGGTACGCATTTTTGGTACTTGGACGGCGGACCGGTACGTCGCACGAATCGTGGTGCTCTCGGTTCGGCCGCCGGTGCGACGTGACGGTTCGACGAAACGGTGCCAGTCACGGGCTGGACGGAATTCGCATCCTTCCCCGTCCGGCGGCTCTGCCGGATCTTTCTCTCGTCGAATTCGTGGGATTTCGTTCGAGGTGTGCCGGGGGCCACGGTAGACTACGTTTGCGCCGTGGCGGATGCGGCTTGTCCGGGGAAACCTCGGGCGACCGCCGGTCGTGTCGTCTATAGTACGCTTCGTCGTGTAGTGATCCGTGTGGCTGCCCCGCGGGGATCGTATTTGTTACCGAATAAACGGATGTCTGTTGGATATCTTGGTTAGTTCTTTTAATCTTTTTCGTATCTCTGTTGCCTCTACTGGTTATGCATCTTGCGTGCGATTTGATTTCTTGCCGAATATCGAAGTAAGTGGACTAGATTTTGTTGCGGGTATTATATTTTTATCGTCGTTTTCGTAAAAATATTGCCGAGCGGCAATTTTGGTGCCGTGTAGCATGATGTCCCACGTGGTGGTGGAGGTAGGATTTCGGGTTGGCGGGGAGGCAGCGGTGGACATTTTGGACGTGCCTTCGGGCACGTTTAACGATTAAGAAAAACTGGCAGTTCGGTTTTTCTTAACTGTTCGAACGACCCGTTGCTTCTGCAAATTCCTGTTTTCTTTGATAATTATGCATTAATTAAAAGATGCTTTGCATTATTTTTTCGGTAAATTAGTTTAGTTGTTGATGTCAACTGCAGAATTGTCTACCAGTTTTGTGCTGGTCTCTGTTTTTATTTTGCTATTACTTCACGACAAGATCAAAATGTGATTCTAAATGTCTGATTCGTTACTAAATGCTGATCGGTGGCTTTCTCGATGGATCTACCAGCTAAAAGAATAAAAGACTTGAATAAATGATCGTTGGTGGGTTGAGAGTTTCTCAATGGCTGATGACGTTGCCGTGACTGGGTTGACGCTGCCCTTGTTAATTTGAAATCCTGTTGGTCAAAGGGTTGGCCTTAGTTTTGCTAAATTTCCACCCCGAGACCCTAGTGCAAAATTGAAAATTGTTGAGAGAGGACTGGTGGAAGAAGTCTTGCGGTACTGGAGAATGGGTAGTGCAAATTGCTCACAAACAACCTGGAAAACACTTGCTATGCCAATGATTTTTGTCAAATTTTAAACGTGCTCGTATTTTAAATGAATAAAATTATTGATTTTAATGGGTTCCTACTAGTACAGTGGTATCTCAGGATACGAACGTTCCAGCATACGAAATTTTCAGGATACGACATGAAATTCGAACATATTTCTGCTCCACGATACGAACAAAAACTCACCATACGATGTTATGTTAGTTCACAGTGCCATTTTTTATTCACTTCTGTTCGTCGGTCTCGGTCCGCGCTTTTGCTTTGTCGTGGAAGGATCTTGTTCGATAAAGGAAATCTCGAGGTACTATTGGAAAGTGGCTGATTTTATTGAAAAAAAACATCCCAAAAAGATTCATACTGGTCGTATTGCCGCTCGGAGTAATGACATTTGCCTAAGTCATTTTAGAAACATTTTAAAAAGTAGGCAAACCTCTTTGGATAGATATTTTATCAAGCGACCTCTATCCAGTGAAAATGCTGGTGGAAGTGAAGGAAAGAAAGCAAAAGCAGTGAAAAAAAATTTTAAAAACATATATATAAAAACAACACTAATTTTTTTTCTTTTTATCTTTTCTAAGTTATTTTTAAGTTATTGTTACATTATGTTATGCAAGTTAAGTTTTAGTATCATTTCCCTTTTCCCTCTCTTCTCCCACCAGTTTACACCTCCACCGTCCTCTATTCTCAAAGGTAAAGTGCAAATAAAACTACATTTTTTTTAATCAATTATTCTATTATTTACAACTACAAAACTCATTTTTCAGTATTTTCCTTACTATAGTTATTTTTTTTAATGTACTACTTAGCTTTAATTTGAGTGTGTTTTTCATGTTGGAATGAATTATTTGGTTTTACATGTAATCGTATGGGGAAAAATGATTCACCATACGACATATTCATGATATGATCTCAGTTTCGGAATGGATTAATTTTGTATTTTGAGGTACCACTGTATTTTATTAAAAGCAAAGCTGTGGAGTCTGTATTGAATGCTTTGACTCCTTGGTTTGTATTATTTTAAGACTGTTACTCTTTTATCTACAAGTATCTTGTTCAACACTGTTTGAAAATTGAGGAAATCCTAGTAAAAAAATTCCACAACTTTAACTGCTAATTCTGTTGTTCAATGTTTGTTTATTCAAGTAATCATGCATGTTGTCTCAAATTTGCCCATCGATTTTAAAATTTTCAAATTGTTTTGTGCTTTTTGTCAAGTTTATTTTAATGAAAACTGATAGAATTTTTTCTACCTTGTCCTAGCTTTCCTGTCAACCAGGTGTCGTCGTTGCTTTCAGACTTTAGCCCTTAAATCTGTCACTGTGTTTTGTTTTTATAGATCAATCATTGTATTTGGTAATGTTCATTTAAACATTTTTAGATAAGTGTTGTTAAACTTGTTTTTAACTGTAGGTAAGTAATTTGAGGAAAGAATTACTGTTATATCTCGTTACTTGAACTGTTCCCAATTTGAACGATTCAGTATTTGAAAACAAATTCTGAAAAACTTGCTTTGTACTCGACGCATGAACAAATTCTACTCACTAGAATAAATTTTCGGTTAATAACATATTTTTTTTATGATAAAAATAAATATGAAAATGGTGCCGATATTTCTGATCAAGACCCACAAAAAAGCTCAGACAGTGACAATACTTTGTAAAAAGAAAATGCTTTCTTTTAACTAAAATGAATATTGATGTGTAATATAGCATTTTTAATTGTGATTGTTAATTATTGATTGGAAATAAAGTATTGATTGGTTTAATAAACATATTTCTCTTAGTGACAGAAAACAGTCATATACTTTTGTTAATTTTGGAACTTAACCCCATTTTTTGTATTAGTTCTTTGTTTCAAATAGCACAGATTCATACAACAATGCACTTTTTTTGAAGGTAACTACTATCTTAAATTAGGAATTCTTTTATATGTCAGTATAGAATATAAGTAATAAATTAACATCAGGAAAGTAAGAAATTTTAACATAAATTTAAATTGTAATATAAATAAATTATTATGAGCCAGAATTGTTCTGTTTTTTACTAACTCTGTGAGTCCCAATTGTAAAAGTTCAGTATATGTGTGGGCCAACTATAATATTTTGATGCCAAAATGGGATGGGGCTGCAAGTGATAAATATGAAAACTCTTAATGAACTATCAAACAAAACAAAACAACTATCAATACCACCTGTTGCTGAGAAATGTACATTAAACAAAACATAAACGTTTTCAACCTGATACATAGGCCATCTTCAGGTGTAACTGAATTCAAACGGCTTTTCAAAAATTTAACATTTTAACAGTAGAACATCCAAACATCTAAATTTAAAACGAAATATTAGATTAATTGACAAATAAATAATAAAATAAAATGTATCAAATAAACTAAATAAAAAACAATAACTATATAAATAATAAAATAAAAATAAAATACACAAAAAAAATGCATCTAAATATATGGGCAGGTGCAGACTAAGTATTTTTATTTAAAATTTTTTCTTTTATGCAGAATTTCCATGCAGAAGCTGGTTCATCTTCATCCCTGGCATTATTATAACCAATCTTTAATTTACTTCTATAGATTTCAATTTTTTCTTTGTTCATTGCTAACAATGGGAAATACATGGCCCTGATGACAGTTGCTTCATTCCACTTAACTACAAAGTCTACTTGTGCTGTACTGCACAAAACTGTGTTGCAGTGCCCTTTATTAATGTCTTACTTGTGTTCCTTAAGTGTGGTTGCTTAATTCCTTCTTGTGACCCCAATATAATCTTTCTGAACAAAATCAGCAATTAGGAATTAAGAAAGACTATATTGGGGCCACAAGAAGGAATTTAGCAACTTTCATTTTCAATTCACTTAACTCTCCTCAATTCTTTGAAATACTTCCATTTTCAGTTCAATGTGATAAGACATGAAAATTAACAGATCTGGTGCAAACCATTAACTTAGTAATAACTCTTAATTGTTACAGTAGTTTGTTGAACTTTCTCAGTACTTCGTGTTTATATATAAATAGCTGTCGGTTTCATGATATTTCAGTGTTCAATTAGTTTTCGGAGATTGGATCAACTGAATATTGTCATAATTAAGTCAAGTGAAGATTTTGAAGTATTTCTTCTCGTATGCATTTTAAAAAATGGATTGGTTTTTACTAAATAGTAATAAGCATTGTGAGAGTTAAAGAGGGCAGTGGCAAGAGTGTGAAGTGTAAATATTGAAAATAGCATGACAGTTATTTGGACTTTGATTTTACGTTGATAGAAGTCAATGGTAAAGAGAGCCAGCCCACAGTGTGTACT